CATTGTCAACTAGTGGCCAGCAACGTCATCGGTTCGTCGAACGTTGGCTGAAACAATGGCCGCTTTCAGACCGCCCGTCCGTCCGTCCGTCGCGTGCGTGTTGCGACGGCGGCGCAGGACAAGTGTTGACAGCGCTGACACGCGACCGCCGTTACAGCACGCACGGGGCGGGGACGGACGGGCGGTCGGTCGCTGAGTCTGAAAGCAGCCAATGCACGTCGTTGAAGTCTGAAAGCGCTCTCTGTGACAAGGATTCCTCTGTAATCAACTTGTTCTCTTGGAAAAAGTGATTCGAGCTCTTTGACTTTTTTTGTTTTTTCCAATCGTCGTTCTGTAATAGAATTGGAGGGTGGAAGGTTCAACATAGCAAAATGAGCGTCCTCCATTCGGTTAGAACCGACCTCCCCCCCCCCTTCCCTTCCCCTNCCCCCCCCCCCCCCCCCCCCCCTTCCCTTCCCCTCTCCCCAAATCAGTGGGAAGTATATAGCTACTTACCTACTCCTCTTTATGCCGAGAGTACATCTGTAGATCAGTTCAAAAACAAGTTCCGCAAATTTGGAAAGCGCTATGTCTTATTAAGTAAGAAGTTCCCACTACAAGTAGCCCTTTGACTTGTGATCCGTCCCTTGGTAGGTTCGAGATTGAAGATCCGCTCCGTGTAGATGATTTAGTAGCAATAGTCTCTCTTATCCAGGCCTCTCTTGTTATGACACCTACCTCCCATATAAGTGACTTCTCGTGTCGCTTCGTGTCACTAATATAAGTAACAAAACAAAGATTAGCTGCTTAAATGGAGCAGTGGGTGGGACCCCATATGCGATAACAGCCTGATTTTGGACAATTTGGTTTCAGATTCAAATAGTGACGAAGCTGAATTCTGTTAGGTAGGAAAAATGAGCATTACGGCGAAGATCGGAGAGTGAATTAGCCACTTACCACTTTCAACCGCAACGTCATGTCTCACCCACTGACCCCTCAGTATGTCCACCACCAAAAGCATGGTTTTTAGAAACATGGCATCGCGCAATTCATCAACTTGTATCATCGTTTAAAAGCACGTCATGGAGATCAGCTGAAGTGGGGTGACGAAATCGAATATACAATTGTGAAATTCGATCATGAAAATAAGAAGGTATGTCTCCTTAGCGCTCTTCTCAATTTTTTTTCTACTGCAGATGTTAATTTAGGTGCGCGTGTCATGTCGTGCTGAGGAATTGCTGAGCCGACTTCAAGCCCAAGAGGAGGTGCTCTTTTCCATATCCTGTCCTTTAGTTTTGCTTATGGCAACTATTCTAGTCGTTTTTTACTAGTTTGCTGAGGTTCGGCTGAAAAGTCATATTAGAGGTATTAAGGCGTGTACATTTAGGTCAATGCTCTTCTCGGTACTGTAAACCACTTTTTATGGCGTCCGGAATTCGCTGCTTACATGATAGAAGGAACTCCTGGCGTCCCATATGGAGGTTGTCTTATCAGATTTGATCTTGATCTGGTCTTAACTATAAAAATTTTGAGTACTAAGGACTCTTGGCGTGCTTCAATGTCGTGGAAGCAAATATGATTGTGCGCCGTACTGAGGTTCAGAAGTTGCTTAAAAAGGTTGGGGGCCTGGCAACAAACGCACTCTTTGTTTTTAAGTTGTGGTTTTCAGGGGTCATTAGTCAAAGGTTTGAATTCAGGGAGAATCAGTATTGTCCATCTCATTTCCCGCTTTGGGCACACCTGACTTCACATCTCCTCCCATGCAACCCACTCCTCGTGAAGAGGGACCTGGTCGAAGCATTTTCTGGCCTGAGGATGCGGTATTTTGTGGCCATCCAAGGTACTCTTTCACGCAAATATCCGTTCACTTTGACTTCTGTTGAGTCTATCTTTAGGTTCAAAAACTTAGTGAAGAATATCCGTGGACGTCGTGGAGAAAAAGTAGCAATCAACGTCCCTATCTTCAAGGACAAAAATACGCCAAATCCGTACATTGTGTGCTATTCTTAGTATAGAATTTTAAGGGAACTCATTCTCGTAAAGTGTTGTCTCACTTCTTTAGGAAGATTTGTCCGCATTAGGAGAAGGAGAAATGATTCAAGCAGCGAAACCGGATCATATCTACATGGATCACATGGGGTTCGGTATGGGTTGTTGCTGTCTGCAGGTGCAGTTTGACTAATTGGTTTGACCCCTCTGAAACACATCAGTTTCGATTTTCTGTTGATATTGAACTCCGGTTGATTCACCCTCCGTAAGTGGATGCGGCTGAAATTTTCTTTTTCACTCCAGGTAACTTTTCAAGCCGTCAATGTTGATGAGGCGCGATGGCTTTACGATCAGCTTACGCCGATTACTCCAATATTGCTTGCCTTGTCCGCAGCAACACCTATTTTTAGAAGCAAATTGGCTGACGTTGACTCTCGGTGGGATATTATAAGCGCCGTAAGTGTTCAATAGATATGGTGTTCTTTTGAATTATTCATACGTCTATAAACGAATTCTCATTTTTAAGAGCGTAGATGATCGAACAGCCGAAGAACGTGGGCTAGTTCCATTGAAGCATTCGAAATGGAATATAGCAAAGAGCCGTTACGATACAACCGACTGCTACATATATCCATGTTCAGTACCTTATAACGACATTCCACTACAGTATGATGAAGCGATATACCAGTACGTTGTAGTTTCGTAAATACTATCAACGCCGATCATATCATTACTTTTTCGTCCTGCTTACCCTGGCAAATTCTTCTTCACGTTCATTTTCGTCGCCATGTTCCCAACAATTTTTACATTGTAGACTCACCCGTACACCTTTACATTCTTCATTCGGCTGCGCCCCTAGTTACAAACTTTTACTCTTCAGCCTTTAGAGTATTTTCTTAAACTTCTTTGTTCACACTCTTTGTAAACTTAGCTATGGCCATACTACCTGTTTTGGTTTCATCTCTGCTATATTTTGACGGTTCCAACTTCCCTTTCCTTCGCTCCCTTCCAAAACATTTCATGAAAACAGATCTAGATGTTTCTACATCCTCTCGGATCAGTCATCCATTCAGCGACGCTCTCCAATTAATGACGAACAGCCTGACCTCTTCAACAGCATACTGACCGTAGAACTCCAGATAGGATTCTGTGACCACTTTCTAGTTTCTTCCTGCATTTATCGCTTTTTTACTTTCCTAACGAGTTTACCACTGATTTCCTTTGTGACTAATCCTTCCTTTGTAATGGCTTGAATCCTCAGTTAATCGATTTGCCAAATCAGAGACCTGACTTTGTCATCGACAGCTATTTCTGAACTCCCTTCATCCCTTCTCCACAGTGCACCCCCGAATTTTTTTTATTCAGCTCTTGAGAGGGGCTCTTAGTAACGATGCGTTTTTCCCTTACTTGAGTATAGCAAAGGAAGCCAACTCTATGCAATTCGGTGTATCGAAGTCCGCTTTTTTTCAAAGTGTGCTCTTCTGCAGAGCTCTTTTCCTCTACAATTAAGGAATACTGGGGCTCAAAAAATTAATTCAGGCAGTTACGAGACGGCGACATCGACGAGCCATTAGCAAAGCATATTGCACATATGTTTATACGCGATCCGCTGCAGGTGAAATACCATGCTTTTTCATATACGAGGGTTGCCTTTTATATTTCGGGATTGAACAACCCTAGTGTTGCAATCTAGCAACTGACAGTTCTATCGTAGAGTTTGACTTTTTGGGGTTATACTTACTCAGAACGTTTTGACATATGAGCGCTCCTTGAGGTGTTAACACTAACTTAAAGAATTACTCAGGCCCTTGGCGCCCCACCCCCACTTAGGTCGAAAATCCTCCCACCTTAACCTCCCCCTCTCCCTTTGGCGGTGAAGCCCCATCAAGGATCAGTGCTTATCGACGGTATGGTGAATTCAACCGAGGTCGTAGTTCACTCCAAGACGAATTTCGTGGAGGTCTCCAAAATCATATGTTGTTCCGATGCTGCGCGCAAACCAATATTGCAAGATCGTCATATGACCTACCGTGAGATTGGGACAATCTTAGGCATTAAAGGGACTAGCAAACATTCAATATTGCATGAACATTTGACTGTGAAAAAATTAGTATTTGAATTTTTTTTTTAAATTTGTTTTTGAAAAACTTGTCAATCCTCCCGAGAAAGGACTCGTGTCGATTTGTCGAAAGAAATGCTTAGAAAATACGATCGCGGTGCTTCGAAACGCGTCTATGACATCGAGACAGGTGATGGATCATATTTTGAAGACGAAACTTTGCCGTAGGTTTATTGTATCGATGTGGACATACAGATGGGGAGAATACCACCCTGTTCTTGTACGGTGGGCTTATATACAAGACAAAGAAAAACAGGCAAGCTGAAGCAACAAAGCTGAAGCGAGTCAAAATATAACATTTCGTATAGAATGATGANTGATGCTTTTCGTGTGTCATGAAAGAAGAATTTCGGAATATTAGAATGTGATTCATAACAAGACCATTAAGAATCTGCACAGTTATTCTGTGATACTACAGAACAGATCATGGGTTTACGCGTATGAGCCCAGAAGAAAACAGCAGTCGACCTATGGGTATTTCAAGATGAGCCAAATCCAACAAAAGCTGTCCGCGCACGAAGCACTTCCAAGCAAGTGGTCACCTGTTTTTTCAGAAAAACTGGACATGTCGCAACCGTACCACTAGAAAAAGCAGAGCAGTAAATTCTGAGTGGTATACCACCATTTGTTTGCCAGTTGACTTCCAAAAAATCAGGACAACCAACTGCTGAAGACGGATCACTCTTCGCCACGACAATGCGAGCTCAAACACATCGGCTCAAATGACTGTATTTTTGAGCACCCAAAACAACGATTTGACAGGTCATCATCCATGTAGTCCCCGGGTGACATCTTCTCATCAAGTACGTAAAACATAAAATGAGAGGTAAACATTTTTCGACACCTGAAGAAGAAGCCGTTGATGCGTCCAGAATGCATGTTTTAGAGTTAACTCGATCAGAACGGCAAAAGTGCTTCAAAAATTGGTTCGAGCGCATGCAAAAGTGTATAGATCTTAATGAGGAAAATTTTTAAAGGCAATAAAGCGATTTTCAATGATTAACATTTACTTTTGTTCTCTAATCCCGAAATATAAAAGGCAACCTACGTAGTCGATAGTCGAAGGCAATGGAGAAGGTTCCACTCACCTTCCTCATTTTCTGACAGTTTTATCGCCGTTCGAGTAAGTGGGTAGGCCATGTTTACTCAGTGAATGTGATTAAAACTCTGCGTCTATCGGTACTAACCAAGGAGGGGTAGTCCACTTATCTTGGAACATTGAGACCCAGGTGAAACCATAGAGTTTCGAATGCTATTTACGAAACTGGAAATTAAAACTGCAAAATGGTTCTTTTTACAATGTTATGGGGGTCCGAATTTTGCTCGAAAGTAGTATCAATTGGATATGCGATCTCGTCGCTTTCAAATCAAGTGCCCACGTGGCCTAGTGGTAGTGGTCTCACTTCATGGGCGTAAGATGAGGGTTTGCTCCCGGGCATTGTCCGCATTTTTGCAAAGTGTTTTTTCGTCTCATCAAAGGCTCGCTAAACGACATTTGCTCAATGAACGCCTCGTTTCTGCTCTTACTTTCTCTCGTCGCCCCTATCCAGGGAAAGTGGTTCTGCACGTTAATTGTATAACTCTTTTTTATTTTAAACTTCAAGGAACAATTAACAGAAAGTTACTAGAGATGTGTAAGATGTCTGCAAGAAACTCAATATTCATGGAACAACTTTAAAAATCCGTGAAGCACACACGTTCTTCACAAACTGCGCACCTTATGCATGCGCATCTATCAAATGTTCAGTACACCACGTTCTTCTAATTTTTAAAATGTTTTGGTAGAAGGCTGGGTATGTTGATGAATACCGAGGTTCCTGCGTCACCCCGGCCGAGTATTTGTTCAGCCTTGCAACGGTTGACTGTTTTGTCAGCCGATGTAAAGAATCAGCATGCATAAGATATGCAGGTTGTGAAGAACGTGAGTGCTTCACGCATTTTTAAAGTTGTTCCATGAATATTGAGTTTCTTGCAGGCATCTTACACATCTCAGTAACTTTCTGTTAAATGTTCCTTGAAGCTTAAAATAAAAAAGAGTCACACAATTAACGTGCAGAACCACTTTCCCTGGATAGGGGCGACGAGAGAAAGTAAAAGTAGAAATGAGGCGTTCATTGAGCAAATGTCACAAAACTTTTAGGAGCCTTTGATGAAATGAAAAAACACTTTGCAAAAATCCGGACAATGCCCGGGAGCAAACCCTCATCTTACGCCATGAAGCGAGACCACTACCACAAGGCCACGTGGGCACTTGATATGAAAGCGACGAGTTCGCACATCCAATTGATACTTCTGCCGAGCAAAATTCGGACCCCCATAACTTTGTGAAGAGAACCATTTTGCAGTTTTGATTTCCAGTTTCGTAAACAGCATTCAAAACTCTATCGTTTCATCTGGGTCTCAATTCAAAGTTCCAAGATAAGTAGACTACCCCTCCCTGGTAAGAGATCAAGCCTGATCGGTTTCAAACGAAGATTTCCTGTCCTAACTAGTCCGGTATGCTTCGATTTCATCGTCGGTGTAGCTTAGCCGCCGCACAAATGGACGCTTCCAGACTTCAGCGACGTACGTTGTTTCAACCGACGTTCGACCGTCCGGCTGCATTGCTGACTAGGTGTTGACAACGCAGAACAGATTACGTCTAGTCGGTATCGATGGTGTCCGGCGTTGTCAAAGCGTGCGAGCAACACTGTCGCTCGGTCGGACGTCGGTTTAAACAACACACGTTAAAGTCTGGAAGCGCCAACAAAGAACTGTACATCGCGCTTATCCTCGCGATCTCGATATTGCGCTGCGTTGCTATTAAAAGGTCCTTTGAATTAAATTACTTCCTCACGCGGGCTTTCTAAATAACAAGACGGACCTTGAAGTCCGTTATACAGTAACCCGGAGGCACGCTGGCCCCTCCAAATTACCGTCATATGTACGACGCAACAAAGACGAGGCCCACGGAGTGGGTTCTAGGCAATAGAGGTTACTGTATCGCCTGATATCGGGACGTTAAAAGCTACTAGAATACAACTTGGAGTGGTTATTGAGCAATGAACTAGAACATCAGAATATAATGAATGTATGCCCATTTTCTGAAGAATAAACTCACATGCAAACAGAAGAAAAAGGAGCTATATCTTAACAAACAAAACAAAAACAACAAAAGTACAGCCAAGCCTATCCCTCTTGAAACTCCACTAGGGCCGTGTCACTGCTTGCTCTATGAAATAAATGTAAAGCTTAAGACGAAGATCATCTTAGCTCGCTTGCCTCTTTAAATGACCAAGTTGTCAGAGATCTGCTTGCAAAAGGAGTATAGTGGGGCAGGACAGGACATTCCAGGTAGAAAAAGGCAAGAAAATAAAGTCGCTAGGGGGTAAATTGTAGTTAATTGCCGTACGGCGTGACCTAGTCTCATCGACGATATAATCGAGTGTTGGCTATTGATATACCGATAATCTAGTTGAAGGATTGAGGACAGCATAGTAGTGATCGAGCAAGAAGGATTCTATTTTATCGTGCAGGTGTTTCGTGAGAGAATCGAGCAGGACGATGAGAAGTCGACTGAGCACTTCGAAACCATACAGTCTTCTAACTGGATGAACATGCGTTTCAAACCACCACCACCGGATGCTCCTGAAATCGGGTGGCGTGTTGAGTTCAGACCCACAGAGGTTCATTTCTGTGCGTGCTCAAAAAAGTAGAGGGGAAAGAATTAGCTCGTCTTATGTTTTTTCAGGTGCAGCTGACGGATTTTGAAAATGCAGCTTATTGTTGCTTCGTTGTGCTGCTAACGAGGTTGGCTTAACTATTGGTCTATGCTCTCTGGTTTCACAACTTTTGTGATTCAGAGTTATAATATCGTTCCGTCTCACATATTTGCTGCCTATTTCTATGGTTACTGAGAACATGAAACGAGCTCAGAAAAGGGACGCCGTAACCAAGCAGAAGTTTCTGTTTAGGTCTGGTTTGAAGGGTAAAACAGTTCATGTGGTGAGGTCGATGTTGCACTTTTCAAAGCTTATTTCACAAAACTAAGCAGTAGGTNGAAGTGGCCATTCGAGATGAGACGTAACTGCCTGATCTCATATCCGCATTCCATCTCTGCGAGAAGATCCTGACTAAGAACATAGTTGTCAAAGCTTTAGGGGTGAGGGTACCTTTTCCCTAAAATCGCGTGGCGCTCCCCGCGCGTTTGAAAAAGAAAAAGGCGTTACAATCACATCTTAAATGGTTGCATTTATACTACAGACGACGACGCCGGCGGCTCAGAATATGTAGCCGGAATAACAGTTGTCGAGATACAGGAACATGATACTGGTGGCTCAACAGTTTCCGTTAGGTACAACCTCAGCTACCAAAGAATGCGTTCCGCTCCTGTTATGATGGGAGGCTTCTGAACGTGTGTTTCCTTCATTTTGAACATTTGCAAAGCTGTGTAATGCAGCAGTACGTTTTGAGCCGACGCTAGCATTGGTAGTATAAGTCTAACCACTGACCATTGCGACCTAATATCCTTTCTTTGTCAGATCTCACCTTCTCCTTCACCCTATCCTTCTCTCTTCGCCAATTACTTACAATTGATATTGCATATTCAAGAAAAAGTTTGGCAACGTGCAAATCATCTCCGGAGAATCTGAACGGACCTCCGCAATGTGGTGAACCGAGTGAAGAGATTGAGGAACTGACCATTAATGAGATTATCAACGGTTTATTGTTTCGTTAACTGATGGTGAATGATGTTTCAATGACTACACATTTAGGAAAAGAGGGTGACGATGTATTTCCTGGGCTCGTTCCACTTATTAAGCAATATCTAGACAGTGCAGATGTTGATGTGGACACTCGCTGTACAGTTTCTCAATATCTGAACTTCATTTCGGTTAAAGCTTGTTCTTCTTCATTTTCTGTTATAAATTACTTCTTATTAAGTTGAGACTTGCTTTGGGGAGATATTGTCTAGCTCCATGCGTTCCTCTTCATGTTACTTTTAGAAGCGTGCTTCCGGTGAAATTTGGACGTTAGCGCACTGGATACGTCACTTTGTAGATACACATCCTGCGTACAAACACGATTCGCAAGTTCCTGATGAAACAACTTACGATCTTCTTGTACAGGTAAGAGAAGAATAGAAGTGAAAACTACCATTTGGGGTTCATACTATCGGTGATTGATGCTATGTTTGAAGACTGCGAAACAGTACCTGCAGTAGTTTAAAAAACCTATTGAAATGGGAACACGAATGGGTCGATAATTGCAAAAGTTCCTCAGGACAAATCAGCTTGACCACATGATTTAATGTTTTGTACGAACAAAGAAAACCTCTTTAGTAGTAGTTTGTAAAAGTCCTTAAGACTGGTAATGTTACAAAGTCCCAGGTTTCCTTTGTGTTGATCTGGCTCGGCTGTCCCTCCTCTTTAGAGTTGTAGCGACCACGAAAAGTTTCTGATTGGAGCGTGGGTGTGGTTGTCAGATATCCCTCCAAGGTCGTATCGAAACGANGATGGTATATGATGACAATCCTAGCGTAAAAGTAAGGATATTCTGAACCACTCTCGACGAAGCCTTTTGAGAGCCCCCATTTGACTGCTGAGTAGCTCCAGCATTCCAAACTGATAACCTCGAATCCACATCATTGAATATACTTTAATGAGAGCGGTCTCTTCTGAAGTCACATTCGAGGGATGCTTAGAATAATGAAAAGTTCACCTTTACACTCTTCGCTTCATGAATTTGATTCATGCAGCTCTTTTAACTGTACTCGGACAGATTTGATCAACGTTGCAGATGGACGAGATATCAAGCGGAAAGAAGCACTGCAAAAAGTTGCTCGGGTGTTATCGATCAAAAACCGATCATCTCATTCCAAGCGCAGTACGAAGAGCTGAAGAAAGCTGGGTGATGAGCAAGCAGAAACGTGGCGAGTGACAATTGTAGAACTGCAACGGCTTGATCCTTGAGTTTCATATTTTTATTGAAGAAATATACACATTCCGAGCCATATCAAACTTAAGTGCTTAATCAGTTGTCATTGGTGAAGGGTTTTGTAAATTGCACGTTTCCTCTCATATCCGTTGATGACTGAGGTAGTTTCATTGAAATCTTGGTCATAAGGAGAGTGTTAGCTGTGTTTTGAAGAGGCGCTGAGAAGCGCTCATTTATGCGTAGGTAATGGCTTTTGACTAGTCATGAAATCCTACGGATGTCCTTTTTCCAATCTTATTCAAATCAGGTAGATTGAATTTTACAACAACAGACGTGAAATGCATTTTCAAAGTTTCTATCTTTCAATGTCGATTCTTTTGAGACTATTCAAAAGATCTTGAGTTAAACGAAAGGGCTGCCTTGGAGGCGAATGATTTATTTGCATTTACTGCAACCACCTTTTCACCGAATCCAACCGTGCGTAATAGAAATAACCACCTACGTGCTGTGAACGTGGCCAGATTTTTAATGACTGCTATTGTTAGTTTGACAGCACACCACAGAAGGGCTTCAACAAGTCACTTGTTCTTTTTTTCATTACTTCATTTGTTTCAACTTCCAATCTTGTCATTTCAATTAAATTATTTTAGGTTGTATGTGCCATAAACTTCCATTGCATGTTACGCCATAAATATAATTTCATAAAATGTTGAACCTACTTTTCTGTCTGTATCGCATGTTATTTGGCATTTCTTACAGCGTGTGTAACAAAGATATGAAGATAAAAATGACCTCACCTTAGACAAGAGACGGCTAGTGAAAACAGAACGAGAACGATAAACGATTACGAGGGGTCAGTCTAGCTTACCACGGCTCGAACAAAATAAACTAGAGTTAAGCAGCAATCCAGCCCAAAAAACAATGGCAGGAACGCCCACTCACATGCGCCGTTTCGGCACACCGTCCACATTATGAAGATCAAAAAGACAAATTAGCAATGAGCGAGACGGTCAAACGCCTACATTTCCCTCCTCAGGGTGGAGAGATGTACTCGACTCTTCAAAATCCCAACAAAATATTCTCTCGCTTTGAACATGTGACTTTCAAAGCGTTCCTCGTCTAACAGTCAGGTTTTGGTGTGCATGTGTTCCCCTCACCATGCCCTTTCGGTTATCGACGGTCTTCTCTTTTTGCTTTTAGGTAGCCTCTTACGCGTTGAACTTGCTGTGATGTCGTTCTGAGAACCTAGGAATGTGGATTTGCGGTTCTCGAACCAGATAGAATCAAACCACAACATCTAAAGAATCTTCTACTAGTTGTCGTTGGAACATCCACACGCTTGCCGAGACTTATCAAAGTATTACGAAAGTATAAACTTGTCATGTCTTACCTTCATCGATTTGAAAGATTATCAACGTGAATGGTGGGATCCGGGTGCGCGCACGCGCGAAAATAATTCAAGCCGCTGCGCTACGGTCTTCAACTAAGCGCGAATCGCAAACGTTTGAATTGCTCTCGGCTTTTTTCCAATCTAGGGCGAAATTCCAAGTCGTAGCTGCGCAGCCTGCACTCTTAGTTCATCGTCTCCGTTGCAGTGAAGGTTTCACTTTGATTTTATTGGCGTTCCTTGGTGAATCGCGTCTTTCAGAGTCGGGCATGAGGGGAAAGAGGGCTCATCTGAGGAGCACTGGAGCGCCTTTGGAAACTCTGATGGAGGATATGGATTTTGATGGAAATTCACCTCCAATACCACAAAAAGATCCTGAGGCCGTCGTTGCAGACATGATAACTGCACCAGTGGTAACTCATGTTTTTTATGTTTGAAGACAAGTCCGAGCCGCTTTATTGAACTGAGCAGTTCTAATGCAATTTCTTTCTGTGTTTTAACATCAAGCTTTCACTTTCCTACTAAGAGCTCTTTCTTTTCCTGTTTCAGTGTTAAGTTTGCCTCATAATTTGTTACCTTGTTTAACATCAGAGACTTGGTTCCGTTTGGGAATAATAACACGTCAACTATGGGAAACTAGTCAGTTGGGAGTGGGAACACGGATTTTATAGAGGGCAGTTTGAAAAGGATTCCCGTGAAGTATTTACTGAGCTTTTTCATACACTTGGTTCAACAATCAGTGCTAAAATCAGAAAAACTAGAAGAGTTCAAACAAGTATAGATTATTACCAATGGGCTTACGGTATTTTCCATGGGTGAACTTCAAAACTTCTTTTTGATCTGATCTTATGAGATTTTAGGTTTCTAAACGGAAGGCTGTTCGAAAAACAGCCTCGAAGAAAGTCATTCCTGAGCTAGAGGTCGAAGCCACGGAAAAGAACATTGTGACTGAGAAGCTTGAGTATTTTTTGAGCGATTACAATGTTTTACTAGAAAAAGCTTGCAAAAATGAGAAAGGACAGGTCAGCTGATTGTATTTTACATTAGCCTATCCATGAAAGTTTTCGGGTGAACGGTTTGCTGACGCTCTTCCTATAAGTTTACCACTTCGAAAAATTCTTCATTGCAGAAAGCGCTCATCAGGCGTTTGTGGACTGATCACGATGAAGTTATCGAAAAATGCACCATCAATAATTTACGGCATGCTTTATGGGAGCCATCGTTTCTATCGTGTACAGAGGGTTTGTTTATTTCTGTCTTATAGCCACTGCTTGAAACTAATCCAGCCCTGAGACAATATTCATTCTCCAGGTGTGAAACTCTGCGCTTATGCCTTGAGAAGAATCGGGTTTCGTTCAGCATTGCTCCTCATGAAAAAAATGGTCGTTGCTGGAGCCTCCAAGTGAGTGCAGATCTAAGGCAAAGCCAAATCCTTCCATGACTATGTATTTTTCCCCGAGAATACGAGTGCTTCTGTAGGATCTCTGAGTAATTCCAAAATTTTAGTGCTACTTGTAACCACCTTGGTCAAGTGATCTATACTGCATGGCGTATGGCAGTAAAAGAAGAGAATGAGGATATGATGAAACAAATTGAAGCTGAAATGATTACTGGTATTATTCACGATGCTGTTCTTCTACCTCTCAATCTCTCCACCAAATTTATACATGTAGGCTCTCCTTATACTCTAAATTAGTCGAAAAACTCCAACTTGTTCATCAGATTCTATCTTCATTTTCTGTGGAGAATGCTGATAAAGCGAAGATGGAGGGTATGCTAGTTAGATGTTTTGAATCGGTGCTCTGGATTGGTCTCGAAGTAAGTTTCTATATGGTCATTGTGGTTCCATCGAAACTGATTAAACAATTTCAATGTGTCAGTCTTGCCATGATCAAGTGCGCTATGCAGCATCAACAATCTTGCTTGGTTTCTACCCTTTGATCGATGACGACGATTTTGTAAGTTCGTGATATTCTACATTCTTATTGTTGGTGTTGAAATTTGTCGAAAGCGTTCTTTAGAAGCGAGAAGACTATCTTAACAAACAGAATGCCATAATGCTGAACATGTTGAAGGATGATTGCACAGCAATAAGAATGGTGGCTACTAAGAAGGTTGGCTTCTTCATGTTTGTAAAAAGCGCTGAATGGAAACTCAAATGGTTCGTACAGCTTTAGATGAGCATATAGTAACAGTAGTGACAGAGACATATAAAGAAGGAAATGCATTACGAAGGATTTTCTTCTATATCAAATCCGACCTTATTTGTAACATTTTAGTTTCTTTCTAAATCTAGATTTCATGAGAAGTAATCGTTAAGAACCATTGCATAGATCACATCAGAGTTCCGAAGGAGCGGAAATCGCTTGTTGTTTTCAGCATTTACGAAGTCTTGTTTTCAGCTCTTTGTAATGAACTAGACTACAGATGACTCTGTAGCGTACTAGTAGCGTTGAACATTACTGGCTAAATTACCCAGACAGTTTATTCGTTTTTTTTCCAGGTATTGAAAATTTTGAGTATGTATTGGAACTTTGTGCCACGGGAATTTGTCAAGCAGTATATGACCATCGTAAGTTGAAGTTTTTTCATAGGGTTTTGCATTTTTCAGTATTTCTTGATCGAACCAGTCCAGACGGATAATCGCTTTCTCTAATCAATCTCTCATTTGTGCGAATGTGAGTGTGATGTACAAATTGCCGCCTATGCTTCCTTCTATGGATTTTAAGGGAGAACTCTTTCTCGGCTCAAAACAGCTGTTGCGATAGCGTGGATAGTGAATTGCGGCTCCTCTGTAGTAGTCTTTCTTTTGTTTCTTTTGGTCATAACCCTTATTATATATAATCCACAAGTTTGGTGTGTCTGTTTGTATTTATCTATGTATGTATGTATGTTTGTTTGTATGTCACACAATCCGGTTTTACCTGAAAATCACCTTTAGAGGTCGGGACAAGTTCGTGATGGGTGGAGCCCAAGACAAAATTAATAGAGCACATACGACCTCTGCGGAGCTCCGCCCACGGGGGGCGGGGCAA